ATGATCGTGAAATAACGGAAAAATCCGTCGTCAATTCAGTGTATAAATAATGGACTAACAATTGGTATGAAGAACGTCAGTCAGCATTTGACTCAATGATAAATTGTATTTGCTGACAAGGTCATTGTATCGACCATAGAACTTACGAAATGATGACCTAAAACGAGACTGCTGATATTCTTGCTTCATCAATTTGTTTGTCAATAATTTACTTCGTTTCAGAAATTGTCCATACGTAGAGCATGCTCTTGTGTATCGAATCAACTTAGATATATATCTACTCCTTATGCAAATGATAAAGGTAAATTGCTGCATAAGAAAGGGAAGTTGACGATAAAAAAGTTAAAGTCGTCACGTTTATCATATAACTTGGTTGTTAGGTTACCAAACTTAAATCTATACTACATGTGGATGCATTCCTGGCCCAGTTGGTTCTTGAAAAGAAGATTTTTAAAGATTTTTCCTATGTACATGTATTCCTATGTTAAACTTTGATACCCACATTGTGGCCCCACCCTACCCCTGTGGATCTTGATTTGAACAAATTTGAATTTACACTACAAGAGGATGCTTCCACCTAAGTTTCAGCTTTCCTGGACCAGTGCTTCTAGAGAAGAAGATGTTCAAAAGATGCCATTAATTTTTAAATAATTCACAATTCGAGGAGGGCGTGGCCCTTCATTTGAACAAACTTGAATTCCCTTAACCCAAGAATACTTTGTGCCAAGTTTTGTTGAAATTGACCCAGTGGTTCTTGAGAAAAAGATGAAAATATGAAAAGTTAACAACGACGACGACAACGATAACAACGACGACGACGACAACGATGTCAACGACAGACAACAGACAAATTTTGATCAGAAAAGAACACTTGAGCCTTCGGCTCAGGTGAGCTAAATAGATAATGAAGTGTAAACATTGTCATTGTCTCCAGAATTTGCCTCTTCTTAACTTCATTAGACTGGGTAAACGCATCACATCCTTTCAACGTCTTTCGTTGCATTGTACGGCAGCATCCTCATGTAGGAATCTTGTTCCCGCCTGACAACTTACAGATGTCTGTCTATGCTATGTGTCGCTGGCTTATTTCTCTTCTGATTAAAGTCGGGCGTCGATTGAGCGCCGCAGCGGGCTGTACAGTCTTTCTCAGAGTTTTGCTTCGGTTTCTACTGGTTAGTGTAGAATGTTGGCGTTATAATGTCTCTTCATATCGAGAGTTCTCTCTGAGGTATACTCACAGTAGTCACACTTGATTCTTTTGTCGTGCTCTAAGCCAATTTGCTCTAAAACTTCTTCAGGACTCTGGAACACCTCGATACTTAGTGAACATTTATGCATAGCAGTTACTTTGCTTATTGAATTGTCGTTCTCGCCATTTTATTGCAAGACTGCAATTGAGAGGGAGCAGATTATTCTCCCCTTGATTTTTTGGTCTCAATCTGTCATATAATACAGTTGAAAATCATCAAAGCGATTTGCCTGTCAGCAACTCCTTTAACCCCCCTTCCTTTCAGAGCTGCGTATTTACAAAGACAATTCCCATCAAGCCACTGAAAACGTTTTGGATCGGGACATATCGGTGCTGATGAGCGTCTAAATCGAGCAATTTGGCAAATTATGGTCTTCAATACGACTGTACTACGATGCTCCTACATCAAACACTGCTGCCTCTGCGACATTGAAGATCATACTACAATGCTGTGCAGACCTAGATGAATGTTTGACGATATCGGTACGGTGGTGCGGATCATACTACGATTGTATAAGGATTCAAGTGCGACTTTGACGATGATATATACATATCTTAGGTTTGTTACATATTTTTCTCAAACTGCTGCCTGATACATCGTGATATGATGGAATACTACTAGTAGTATTAGCATACATGGCATATATGGCTGAAGAACACGAAAGTTTCTGATTTTACACCCAGCTATTCAACGCTTGAACAAAAAAATGTACTTCCCTTAGAACTACTGGCTGGACTGCCAGCTCAGAAGAAATCGATTGAACAACATATCAGTCACCTTGAAGATTCAATGGTCTTGGCACATGAAATACTAGCAGCTAGAAAAATTAGGATGAAAGTTTAAAAGACAGAAACTCTGATATGATTCTAAGCTTTCTTGGAAGATGTTTAACGCTGGTAGCAAAGTATGGTTGTATACTCCGATACGTACAGAATAAAGACATTTCACCGAAGTTCCAGATGTGGTGGACAGGGCCATTCACAGTTCTGAAGAAATTCAACGATTTTACATATCAGATTCTAGTTAAGGGCAAATAGTATGTGTTTGTTCATGTTGACAGGTTAAAGTCTTTCATTAATTGCGAGGAAAGTATTAAAAATCAAGAAGCTATATCTCAAAATTACATCAAAGAATATACTTCTGATACAGAGCTGCGACAACGATTCCGATCAAACGTAATAAGATCGTTATATGAGCGATATCATGAGCGATATCATCGTACGAACATCTAGGTCTGCGTAGCGTCGTAGTATGATCTTCAGTGTCGTAGCGGCAGCGTAGCGTAAACGCAGGTCGACAACGGTCCGCGTAACGTCATTGTAGAAGCGTGTTAGCGGCGTGTTTGAGGTTCGGACATCGTAGTATGGTCGTAATGAAGACCGTAATTTGCTATTTTACTCGATTGAGACGCCGATCGACTCCGATTCGTCCCGATCTAAAACTTTTTTTCAAATCATGGCTTGTTTATAATGGTCGCTACGATGGTGCTAATCATATAACGATTGTAATACGCTTCTAATGACGATTTTGACGACGATGTATATATATCTTGCGTTTGTTACATATTTTCCACAAACTGCCGCCTTATAGGTCATGGAATGATCGGTGTAAGGCCATTGTAGGTCTCCGTATGATCGCCAGGAACGTAGAGAAATCGAATGGAAACGTAGTAAAAACGTAGTGGGAGCGTGATAAGAGCTTACTTGATAAGTTCCCGAATGTACTATATGCTCTTACTGCGCTTTTACTACGATCACGATCTCTCCACGATGCTTCCGTTCAGCTTGTACGGTTACGGCCCTCCTTCTACACTCTTTTTACGACTTTTCTCAGATTTTGTTGGCCACGATCTTGCTACGCTTGTTTTGATCATGTTCAAAATGAGCATGTTCAAAATAAGCCAACATTCACACAAAGACTCTTCTACGTTTCTTCTACGATCAAATTGTGACAGAAAACGTGGTCGATCGTGACAAATCGGAGGAGAGACGTAGTGGAGTCTTCATAACCACCTGTTCACACAGAGCTGCGACTTTACGACGATCATCCCGATCAAGCCACGATCTGAAAAAGTTTTGGATCGGGGAGGATAGGTGCCAATCGGCAGCTAAATCGAGCAATTTGGCATATTATGGTCTTCATTACCATCGTACAACGATGTCCCTACGTCAAATGAAAACGCTTTGCTGCCTCTTCGACATTATAGATATTGACAGTAGCGAAGGAAAAACTTCAAGAGTACTGTGCAACTATATATTCAAGAAGTGGTGTGAATCAGATGTGGATACTAAAAAATTCTAAAGAACTTTTGGACAATTTGAAATCACAAGACTTTACAAAAATCAACAGCTTAAAAACTTACGACTTTTCAACTTTATACACAACAATTCCCCTCGACAAATTAAAATCCAGGCCTTTTGATATCATTGACAGCTGCTTCTTCAATAAAAATGGAACTCGTAAATTTACTTACCTCGTCATTGGTCATTTGCAAAATTATTTTGTTAAAACAGCTTCTGATTGCACACATAAGTTCTCTGAAGTTGACATCAAGAAGATGCTGGAGTTTCTGATTGACAATATCTATGTGGTTTTTGGAGACCAGGTATTCCAACAATCTGTTGGAATTCCCATGGGTACAAATTGCGCTCCGTTACTAGCAGACTTATTTTTATGTTCATATGAAGCAGAATTTATGCAAAATCTTATGAGTGAAAAGAAGAAAAGACTTGCTGTGGCCTTCAACTCGACATTTAGATATATCGACGACGTATTGTCTATTAGTAATGGTATTTTCCATTCCTACGTCGATATGATATATCCTGGTGAGCTTGAGATGAAAGATACCACAGAGTCCGACACTTCTGTTTCATACTTGGATATTTTACTTCAAAAAGACACTAATGGTAATCTAACAACCAAGCTATATGATAAACGTGATGACTTTAACTATTTCTAAGATCCATGTTTTGACTGCTCTCGTTTTGTATTGTTTAGAGGATTTAAGATAGATAGCAGTTCGTCATCTTTACTTTTTCATCAAATGAGATCATTCTATTGAAAGTTCTTTTACCTGGATATTTTCCCAGAAGTTGTTGCTTTAACCGTAGATAAAATTATTTCTGCTGCTTTTAATTATAACTAATCATTAAAGGCATTTCAATTATATTTGTCATTGTGCAATGCGAAATGAATAAAACAGCCAATTCTACTTTCATTATCACATCCGAGGCGTTTTTTTTTATTGGAGTTAAGTTTTATGGAATCTCCAGGAAATATTTTTTGAGAAAAAAAAATATACTTTTTAGGTGATATCACGTACATTTGTACTTATATTCATATAATAGGCATATGTTATAACACCACAGTATGAACTTTAGGAGGTTTAAAATATTGAACAGAAATAGGTCACTTTCTCTTTATAAAAGAAATTATTGGAAGTCATAAAAAGAGGTACTAGTAAGTCAATCACAAATGCTTACCTGCTCTAAGAATATGGTATAGGGTTAACGCATCCTAGGCAAGTTGGATGCTACTTGAAAATATAACCTAAATATTCATTCTTTGCGATTTCCCTTTCATTATATTATATTATCAAATATATTTTACTTATAATATAAAGTATATCAGGTAGGATATAACCGACGTTTCACCATTTTGTTATATTCATAAAATTGATTGATTAACATTTCACATAAAAAAATTATCTTTTATATTGTTAGAAATAAAAATGCTAATTATTAATTGTAGCCCAGAAAATGCCATGAAAGAAAGAGAGGGGAGTAGCAGCAGCAAACATAGCAACTCTGAACAGGGAACAAAGAAAGATCAAAGGTAGGGGATCCAGGAATCCTGAAAAAAGGGGGAGCGGGGCAAACATTTAGTGGTTGGGGTAAAGGCCCACACCAACACCAAATAAATTCATTTAATAAATCATGAGTAAAGTAGAGTATCAGAAACTCTTGGCTAGCGAAGATCGCCTATTCTACAAAATGAGTTCATTTATTTACATTTTCAAACTTCTTCTTTAGAGAAAAAAATGTTTCATCACAGGACTATTGGTTCTTCGATCGATCGATCGATCGAGAGAGCGAGTTTTGATTAAGCTTGTGAATGCACGGTATCATTTAAATAACTTTAGTAACTATATATGTCAGTGGGGTTATTTTGTCTTGATACTTTTTTGCATAATCGCTTAAATTTACTGTTATGTGCAAATAATTTCGCAAGTCAATTCTTGATAACATCATACAACCAAAAATATACACAGTCTCCGTTATCAAACACACATATATAGGCAAAGGAAGTGTAATAGACCGATGGAATAAAAACAGAACACAAAGTACACAAAAAGTAGTGACGTTGCTTTAAGGTATGTCACTCGTGAATTTTTTGAGAAGTAGAATTTGGATAAGTACTCATATAGTAAGACTTAAAATCGCAGAGAAAATAGGGGGTCAGTGTGCATCTTACTGATCTACTGTACAATCAAGTTAAACTTTTTGCACTTAAATTTTGACTTTTTGGTTAATTACTTTAACCTTTATCATATTTTATCAGATGTAACCATGCCAATAAACGTAATTCTATTTTACGTTAAATAGTTTGAATAATATTTATCATTGAACAAATCTTGCAAATTAATGCGCATAAATTATTGTTTGACCTTTTTGCACTAAGAAGTAACATATTTGGGGAATTAAAAAACTAAATAGGCAATAAAACATTTTCTTAAATCAAGCTCTTTACGGCTTAAGTGCTGATCAGTCACAAGTATCGAGTACTTCAAAATAATGCAAGAAAAAGTTAGGGTCAGTGATGTTAATTTTGAAATATTGGTCAAAATATGTGATTTTCAGGCAAAAAATGGTGTAAATTTTATCTTGACTTATTTGACATATCTTCATTTTTGACCAAGTTTGTTTAAGGAAGATGTAAAACTATTTCTAAAAATATAAACTAAGACCTGTATGAAATATTCCTAACAATATCATAACGGAAAATATTCTCCGAGTAAAAGTATGTGAGGCTTAAGTTCCAAGATATTAAATTTAATATATGTGCAGATCTGCAGAATTATCTGCTAAATATCCTTCCACCACAAGAAATAGTCCCTCATAAATCTTGATTCTTTGTAGCTTTTTGAGCAGTTTTTTAGTTGAATGTAAAAATATTAACATTGTTAAATTTAAATATGTTATAAAAATTGAATTTTAATAAATAGTTTTGAAGTAAGAGGTTCTGCGTGAACTTTTCTAAAAAGCTGACGAGTGACATACCTTGAAACCTACATTGTAGAGCATCTTCAGCGACAAAAAGGAATGCAACCAACAGAGTTACTAAGGTAGATCAGAAAGACAGGAAAACTCCAACACCGTAAGTACTGTATATGACAAATTGGGATCTTCTCATAATTTTCAAAAATAATGTCATTTATCCTAAATATTATTACTTTTTATGTTTAAATGTACAGTTTGTGTAAAAATGTGTTTATAATGGCTGTACGTCAAATAAGAATGAAGTAATTTTCTTTTAGACACAAACATAGACAAATCAAAAGAAATATACCAAACTTTTAATTTGCTTCTTTACATGTAACACCAAAATTGAAAAGAATGTGATGAAACTAGCAAAAATTAAAGGGTCTTGACAAGTATTATCATTTTAGCTTGCGTCTGATTTTTTAATATAATTTTTCAATCTTCCTTTCGATATGAATATAAATATTGATATTGCAGAGTACCTGAGGGGAAAAGGAAGGCTGTGCTTAACAAAGTAAATCAGAAAGATGGGAAAGCTACACCAACGCCGTAAGTATATGGCAAACCGAGATATTCCAATAATTTTCCTAAAAGATTACGACAAGGGTACACATATATTTTATCTCAGGACAGCGGTTCCACAAAAATGAAAGCAAAGAGTCCATCTTGGGATTCTACCATGATAGGAAAGCTACACTAACACCGTATGTTTATAGCATACTAAAACATTCCTATAAATTTCCATCTGGAGATGACAAGGGTATAGATACGTTTTTTTTTTCAGGAAAAGGTCTGCAAATAAAGATGCAACAAAAGTTGAAGATAAGAATCCATCTAGAGATTCTACCTCATTAGAATCCAACGACTGGAGAACGTACGTGAAATGCAATGCAAAACATTTGGCCATGGAATTTAATTTTTTTTACTCATAATAACTTGAAATAACCAAGAATTTTTTTTGATTGAAGGAAATTTGAAGAGAAGGCTGAAGAGATTAACTGTCTTAATGGGCAGGTGAAGTTTCTTGCCCAAGAGTTAGGTTTAGAAGGAGAAGCATCAGAAAAGATACTTACAGAGGCAGCGAGGTTTGATTAATATTTTTTTAACAATTATGAATGTATACTCAGTAACTAAAGAGTAATTTTTAAATAATTTAAAAGTCTATCGAATCTATAGTCATAACAGTAAAATATTAAACATTAAAATATTCCAGACAAATGCATTGAATAAAGAGCATGCAGTGGGTTTTCGAGATTTTTGTCTGACGACTTCTATAATGGAAATATATGTATTACGAATTTTGCATACCCATTGGGGTTTCAACAGTATATTTGAAGTCTTAGTTTCAAAATACCTCTTATCATGAGGAAAAAAGGTATACCAACACTAAGTGATGGTATAAAATCGATTGAATTTGACCGTTTTTTGAGAATCAAGGATGGATCAAGGTCATTATCTTTTTCGTTTACAGTTACTGTTACCAAACATGTGATGCCTTTTATAAAAAGAATGAAACATTGTTCTTTTTGCATGAAGTGATGTTACCATATATGGTCTATAAGATTATACCAATTAAAAAGAAATTGCATAAAGTTTTACATATTAGGAACATATAGAAAAAACTTTTACGTTTTTTCCTCAAAAATAGCAAATTCAAGATGAGTACTTTTTATATGGAAGCATTTATGGACAGTTTAGATTCAAGATTGTTCAATCATGACCCCCGGGAGTAAAGTGTGGCCACTCTGAGCATTCAAAGTTTTCAATGGGTATATTTAGGTAGGAAAATCTTTTTTCAAATATCTTAATGATCAATCATATGTGTACAAAACATCATCAAATTGTTTAGATTCAAGTCTGCTCAATGAATGAACCTGGGGTATTGTCTGGTCCGATTTATAGAAAAAAATACTTCTAACGGCAAATAATTATTATTTGGTCCAGCATAGTTTTTTAACCTATTTCGGGTATGATGAATCCGAAAAAATATGCTGGCCTTCATGAAATTGGCGTTAAAGAGGTCAAAATGGCGATTCAAAATGGCGGACATCCAATTTTTCTAAATTTCTCTTAATATCGTTCGAAATGGAGAAATAATGTGTGAATATCTCACTGAGCGTAATACAAGTATAAAAAATGATAATAGAATGCTAACATTATTTGTTTAACTCAGAAAATTTAGTCGTTTCTACACTTAATTCGAATTTTCTCTGATTTTTTGGTCTATTGTTCTATATTCCGCTTTGTTCATGATTTTACATTTGCAAATATCCATACACTGCAGATTTGTATTTTTTCCTCTGCATCTTACTATTTTACAACTGAATGATGGCGCAGCTGTAAGTTAAAAGTCAAAATGGTGATTCAAAATGGCGGATATTCATTTTTTTTTTTAATTATTTCTTAATGTCGTTCATATAGGAGAAAGGATTTGTAAATATCTTACTGAGCGTAGTACAACTATGTAAAATACGAACAGAACACTCATTTGATCATTTTAAATCAAACATGTAGTCGTTTAGATTTGAAATGTGTTATTTAGCTCAAAATAGAGATTCAAAATGACGTCTGATTCACTCGAATTTCGTAGAAACTGCTGAATTCTGGTTCGTTTTGCAGAAAATAAATTAGTTTGTTTTTTATATATATAGTATATATAGTATATTGATTAGTCCATTAAATATGAACAAAAAATACGTGAAAAGATTCATTTTTTCTGGAAATAGTTAAAACAACCTTGACATAAGTTCCAAAGCCTTTGAGCCCCCTTCCACCTAAAATCACTCCCGAATCCTGTCATTATCAGCTCTAGCTGCAGATCTGTAGCTCTCCGAAAAAAAATATTGATAGACCGGAGAGCTACAGTGCCACCCATTGAAAAAACTGTAGATTTATTGCGCACAAAAAAGTGCGTTGGATTCTTGATTAATTCTTCCAAATTCTTACCTCAGTTGCAAAAATGGAAGATTTCAAATAATTCCTCTCTCCTCTATCAAGTTCTCTCGTAGTTGACTTCTGAACGATGCATATTGGACCGAATTATCTTTGAAACCAAAATGGCAGTAAAAACTGAGCTCACTAGATGATACCCCCCGCCTCCCATATGAATAAAATGGCAGTGTCAATGTTTTGCTCTGGAAAATCCAAAATATATGTCAGATCAAAAAGTAAAATAGGAGGTGCACAATGGCAATATGTAATAAAGATTCTGTGAAAGTTTCATCAAATTTTATTCAGTAGTATGAAAGGAGTTGCGGATAAGAGATGGGTACCCCAAAGCGTAACAGACGGACGGACGGACAAGACAGACGGACGGACAGACGTACAGACGGACGGAATTAACGATTACTATATACCCTCCCGCTTTTCAAGCGGGGGGTATAATAATAAGCGAAATGTTCGATGCATGCAATATCGGGGCAAGGAGGACTATTAACAACAATTTTGAGGAATGTTTTGTTGTGGAAAGAGTCAAAGAATATGTTAGGAACACACGGTTAGTAATATTTTGAGATTACATTTTAAAAAACATGGAGATATTAATCGAGAACCGGGCGCATTTTTTTGTGCGCAATAAATATACAGTTTTTTCAATGGATGGCTCTGTAGCTCTCCGGTCTATCAATATATATTTTTTCGGAGAGCTACAGATCTGCAGTTTTATCAACTCGCACTTCTACCTCAACATCCCTCGGCACACCATCAAAATTACTGCAGAAATTCCTGTCCGATTATATTTCATCGAACACTTTGTTCTAGCTTTTTAGCACTTATAAGAACTTAGTATTATCCCCTAACATCTTCTATTCCAGCTTTATTTGCTTTCTGTTTCAGTCTGTCTTCGAAATTTTGGTATTTTCAACACTCAAGTAAAATGTTGCCAAGGATGGCAACTCCCTTGGCATGTAAAACATTATTTCTTCGGGGTTCGAAAAAAGAGTAAGCTCACGGGGGGCCGCCAGAGAAACCAAAATTCTTCAAATTATTTAAAGTGATAGTCCACCGAAACATGGCTGAAAAATTGCCGAATCGGCGTTAAACAATATACAATCAATCAACCAAAACTCAAGGAACAACACATTTATGTTCAAATGTGAAAAGTCTATTTTTGTTTTCCAAAACCATACGCAAAATGAACTAGAGTTTCTGTGAGCAATTAGCTCACTAAATGATACCCCGGTCTCCCATATAAATATAATGACAGTGTCCATGTTTTGCTATGGGAAATCCAAAGTATATCTCGGATCAAAAAGTAAAATAGGAGGTCACAATCGCAATTTGTAATAAAGATTCTGTGAAAGTTTCATCAAATTTCAATCGGTGGTATGAGAGGAGTTGCGGATAATAGATGGGTACCCCAAAGCGTAACAGACGGACGGACAGACATACCGATTTCTCTATATAGCTCTTTATTTTGTGACCTCATATAGATTTGTTGTCTCAATTTCTCAAACCTGATCATCTGAAATCACATTGTGTGCATATTTTGGTGAGAAAAATTGTAAAATTATGCAATTTAGGAGCGCTTGCAGATTCCTCGTAATTCCTATCACTTACAAGCTTTTGTACCAATAGACCTAAGCCATTCCTGATTTCGATCTAGTCAACACCTCTTGACAGCAAATTTTCCTTGAACACTTCAAGAACTCAGAAGGCAACTTGATCCACACTTCTTTGTTAGGATAGAGTTAGGTTGTATCAAGAACTGACGGGGGATTGAACACAAACATGTTCTTATTTCAGATTTTGTAAATTTCAAAATTTTCGAATTTATGTACACTGTTCAATACAAAATTATCCATTCACAGCATGAAATATTTGAGAATGCAATTGAATTTTTGACTGAGAATAGCAAAATGCAAATGAAGGGACACAGAATCAGAGCTGGACAATCAATAAAATTTATGGTTTATGTATATTATACTGGTAATTCTTAATATATATGTTTATATTTAATTTATTTAGATATTATAATATATTCAGATTTATATGATGTAACAATTACTAGCCCTATAAGTGGTCGTGCTAAATCATTTTAAAAATCATACTAAGTTATGTTGCACTAGACCTTCTACATGAACATACACATTTTTTTCTACTCTGGACTAAAAATAGATCAAGAATTTCCAGCAACTGAATGTTCACTCGCCTTAATGCTCGGGGGATACTGCTCTTGGGGTAGCTTAATTTTCATATTGTACTCAAAACAGCAATAACTTTATGATATTATTAACTTTTTATATGAAGAAGCATGATGAGACAGGTAAAAGGTAAAATGTCTTCGGAATTATCGTCAAAAATTTATCTTAACAATAGAAGTAATTAAACAAAAAAACATATTATAAATATCCTAAGTCATTAACAAAAATATCCTCCAACTTCCATTGCATAGTTAAACATTATTTCATGAATAAAAAAACAAACTGTAATTTATTTTCTGCAAAACGAACCAGAATTAAGCAGTTTGGGTATTTTTCGACATTCGAGTGTATAAGACGTCATTTGAATTACCATTTTGAGCTAATTAACACATTTCAAATTTAAAGACTAAATTTTCCAATTTAAAGTGTTCATTTGTCATTTTACATAGTTGTACTAAGCTCAGTAAAATATTCACAAATCCTTTCTCCTATGTAAACGACATTAAGAATTGAATAATTTAAAGAAAAAGATGAATGTCTGCCATTCTGAATCGCCATTTTGACTTTTAACTTACAGCTGCACTATCATTTAATTGTAGAATAGTGAGATGTAGAGGGAAAAATACAAATCTGCAGTGTATGCATATTAGCTAATATAAAAACCTGAACAAAGAAGAATATAGAAACAATAGACAAAAAATAGCAGAGAAAATTCGAATTAAGTGTAGAAACGACTAATTTTTTTGAGTTTAACTAATAATATTAGCATTCTATTATAATTTTTATAGTTTTATTACACTCAATTAGATATTCACTCATTAATTCTCCATTTTAAACGACATTAATAGAAAATTAGAAAAATTAATTGGATGTTCGCCATTTTGAATCGCCATTTTGACCTCTTTAACGCCATTTTCATGAAGACCAGCATATTTTTTCAG